ATATATATATATATATATACTTTAATAGATGCCTATTGAGCATAAAAATTCATTCGTGACGTTATTTCGGTAGTTTATATTAGCTACGTTTCAAGTCCGAGAAAAAAATTATTCAATACATTTACATATTTGGTGTAATCGATACATTTACATATTTGGTATAATCGACTTAAGTGACATATAGAGTTATATTGATAACATAATTATTATACAATAATTAGTTTATCCATGTTGATTTTATAAAATCACTTGAACACACTTTTAAAATATCTGAAAAAGACAACACGTCAAATTGAAATTAAAATCGTTAGAGTACAACGAGTGATAATTGAAATATTTAAATAATTATGACTTTAAAGTATACTTTAATGTATATATAAATTCATTATATGTCGAATCATTATATTTTCAGAAATCTAAATAGAAAGTTGGACAGATTGCTTCGTAAACGGACAAATATGCCTGAAAGACCTGATTTGTTACCATTGAAATCCGTAGAGGAAATGGAGGCATTTGAAAATATCACAGACGAATCATATGAAGCTGTCGTAGGTGTTATAGATGATTTAATTCGAATTAATAATGTGTATAAGAATGAAAATAGTGTGACAAAATTATATGAAAAATATATTGATGTTGTTGAATGTAGGTCGAATATTTGCAATTTCTGGGAGGAAGAAACATCCACGAGTGTGTCATTTTTTGTTTGAAGGAAGCCGTTTTCGACACGGTGATTTGCGACTATTCTGTATGGGGTGAACGCGGAAATCGTTCACTTTTTAATACTCGGCTAATTAAAGCAATATATGGTGAGTGCTTCATCTCTGATATATACATAAACATAGCCATGCAATTAAGTGGTTCTTTTTATAACTTATACACTTAATAAATATGTTCAATTATATACTTAATAAATATATTTTGTTTCCATCATAGATGCTGTATCATCCAATTTCCAACCACCTCCTCACAGAGACGAATTTTTTAAACAGGTTTCAGAAGGGGTTCGTTTCGGAAAACAACGAATTCGGAATATCACTGTTGGGAAGAAACAACAAGTGACTGAAACTGAGGCACGTCAAAAAAAGCATGATGAAGCACAACGAAATTTGTTGAATCATCAGAGAGAAAACTTACGTAACTCATCGTTGCCGCATGCCACTGAAGAGGAGGACCATCAAGATTAAATAAATGTGTTATACAGCTTTAATATAAGAGACTTTTTTGTAATATGACTTATATTTTTTTCATTTAATATATAGTTTATGAAAATATTTATAAAAGGCCCGAATTCAGTAAGACTGTTTTTTGTAATACAACTTATATTTTTGTTTCATTTATATAATAGAATTTATGAACATATTTACAAAAAGGCCTAAATTCAGTAAGACGGTTTTATGTAATACAACTTATATTTTTGTTTCGTTTAATGCAGTTTATGAAAATATTTACAAAAAATTAGAAAAATTTTTTTTAATATTTCAATAGTGTACGTACTATGTTAATCTTTAATTTTATATGTAATATAATTCGCTAAAATCCAATCAATTGTACAATTTTTGCACAAGTACCCTAGCTGGTATAAATTCCCATATATACGCTTAGAAACCAACTGGGTAGCGATTATGTAACTTTTTCCCTAGGACGGAAATGTAAAAATTTTTTGTACGCATATGTGTATACATTATGTATATACATAAAAATATGTATATACGTAAAAATTTGTACTCTTCACGTTTCTATTCCACAGAAAGAATTAAGTTACATAATCGCTACCTTGTTCGAATATACTACGAAGGTTGTCATAGAATTTTCCATGGTAAATTCAGCATCGTATTTCGTGGTTTTGTGGAGATTTATGTATCAGAGCGGTACAGTGAAATTCGATTGTAATCAGTGATGAGAGATGAAGGGACAAATCCGCGCCTGCGCAACGGCAGTCATCATTTGTATACATATAATACTATATTATATACATTCAAAGACATCATTAACAGAGTCTCTTTGTAGAAGGAATATAAATAATTTATTTATATCCCTTCCTGGTAAACACTGATAATGTCTTTAAATAAGGTAATATTATTATATGTATGTCTAAATACGACTAATGACTGCCGTTGTGCGAGCGTGGATTTGTTCTTTTACATCTCTCATCACTGATTGTACGAGTAATACATCTACGCATAGGGCATTCGTGATGAAGCATATATGTGATCGTCTTGCTGTAACATTATGCTGACATATATGATATACGGATGATGACGAAATGTCTTCATTGAAGCAGTCAAGTTGCAGACAATGTGGCCTCATATGCAGATATCATGCATGACAACGATTTGCCGTCATAATGATAGCAAACATCGTTCGTTGAAACTAGCGCATACATGATGTCAAACCGCTGAATCACATTGAGAACTTTACATGACTGCAAAACTATAGACAGTTTGCGGAAGCACCTTGTTTTTAGATTGATGAAATTGAATGCATCATGCGTGACAGCAAAATGATATTATGTTGTTATCATCTGGCTATCTGGGTAATGATATTATAGCCATAATTAAGTTAAAAATGATAAAATAGCCGTGAGTTACATGGAACTAATTTCTGATCAGCCATTTTACTCACAGAATCAATTTTTGATCAGGTCAAGAACTAGATTCTGATCATAGATACTTTGTTACATAAAAAGACTAAGAACTCAATAATGACATCCACTTTTTAAAATAATTATGTATATTTTTCAATATATTGTTACATATATTTCATAAATAAATAAAATATGGAAATTATATTACTAATTAATTAAACATAATTTCCATATTTTTAATATAATACCTAAATTAATATATTTTTACAACCGACTACTGTTAATATATAATTTCCATATTATTAATAGAATAAAATTAATAATAGAATAAAAAAGCAACAAATAAAAAAACTTTATCGAAGTTAAACCTTTTTTCATATCTTTAAATCAAATTTATATATGTGTATATATAT